ACAGCCGCAAACTAATTCAGTACTTTTACTTAACTCCAAACTGTCTCCCTTCCTTATCCTCCCACTTTCATCAGCAACTGAACCATTGTTGCTGCTTCACGGGCTAAAACCTTGGGGTCCTTTTGGTTGTTTTTAACAGCTTTATTGAGATATAATGTAAGATATAATTGTATGATGATACATATCATACAATTCACCTATTCAAAGTGTACAATTCAATGGAGTTATGCAACCACCACCACAAATCAATTCTAGAATATTTTACCCCTACCAAAGAAAGAAGCAGTCATTCCCTCATCTCCCCTGCTCCTTGCCCCTGGCAACCACCAGTTAATCTCCTGTGTCTTTAGATTGTCTTTATCAGACATTTCATATAAATGGAAACATATGTGATCTTTTGTGACTGGTTTCTTTCACTTAGCATGCTTTCAAAGTTCATCCATGTTACACCATATATCAGTATTTCATTCCTTTTTACAGCTGAATAATATTCACTGCATAAATATAACACATTTGGTCTATCCATTTATCAGTTCATTGACATTTGGTTGTTTCTACCTTTTCGCTATTGTCAATATGCTATAACATTCATGTACAAGTTTTGGTGTGGACACATCTTTTAAATTATCTTTGATATATACTTACAAATAGATTTATAACTCCATGTTTAACATTTTGAGAACTGCCAAATTGTTTTTCAAACTGGCTGTACCATTTTAACCATTTTACATTCCTACCAGCAGTGTATGAGAATTCAAGTTTCACCACATCCTTGCCAACACTTATCTTTTCCATCATAGCTGTCCTAATAGGTATAAACTGGTATCATTTGATTTTGATTTGTATTTCATCAATGGCTAATGATTTGGGGCACCTTTTCAAGCGCTTATTTGCCTTTTGTATATCTACATTAAAGAAATGTCTGTTTAAATACTTCATCTATTTTTTAACTGAGTTGTCTTTTTGTAGTTGAGGTGCAACAGTTGCTTATACATTATGGCTACAAGTCTCTTACTAGATGTGGGTTGCCTTTTCACTTTCTTGGAGGTATCCTTTGAAGCACAAAGTTTAAAATTTTGATTAAGTCCAATTGATCTACTTTTTTCTTTTGCCACTTGTGCTTTTGGTGTATCTAAGAAGGCTTTGCCTAACCCAAGCTCATGAAGACTTAGTCCTATGGTTTCTTCCACAAGTTTTACAGTTTAACTTTTACAAGTGGGTCTATGATCCTTTGAGTTAATTTTTACATATGGCATAAGGAAGATGTCCAACATCATTTTTTACATGTGAGTATCCAGTTGTCCCAACACTATTTGTCAAAAGAGGGGTCCTTTTTCATTTTTCCTTTCATTTGATCTTATCCCAACCTGTCATCAAATTTTGTCTTTTCCCTTTAAAATGTCTGTCACTCATTCACTACAACACCAGTTCGCAGTTGATGCCCTCACCATCTCACACTTAGACAATGGCAGCTGCACCTATCCTGCCAAGCCCCCAGCAAGCCAACCCTCCCAGGCAAAGATATTTAAGAATTGGAATTGAATTCATTTAATTCACCTGCTCTGAAACCTGTAATAAATTCCACCTACAAATGGCATCAGGGCCCAATTCCTCTCCCTGACTTCTCTTATCTGGCTTCACCTTACCTACACCAGCAAATCAAAGAGGCAAAATTTCATCTTCCCTGGTTATTCAGATCTTCACTGAAAGGCTATACTCTCTCCTTCCTCTGTCTCCCTTTCTGTGCATCTCTCTAAAATCCCCTGGGTTCTTCAAGTCTCGCCCAAAGCCCAGCTCCTTGATAAACCACCTTTAACTACTCCAGTCCTTTCCAATGCTCTCCTCTAGGAATCCCTACTGCATGTGTGTGCTCTGTAACACCTATGTAGATGACATTGATACATACAGTTTCACTCTACCAACCGACAGCAGTGAGCATTTATCAAATGGAGGAGTCAGATCAGATGATATAAAGGATCTTTCCTAGATCTTGAATTCCACCCCTTCATTCATTATATAATGATCTAATTTTGATGTTTAGGCTTAAAGTTAACTCAAGGTTTCCAGTTGAAGAATCAACGAGTGTTTATGAAAGATTCCCAGCATTATAATTTCTTGTGACTGAATGCATCCTCCTGGGACTCAGGGCCCCTTTAGCTCAAAAGAAATCCTTCCCCCTCTTCTCAGACCACTTTTAATAAAGCAACGTGTGGTACTGTGTTAAGTAACTGCTATGCTGGGCCTGTGGCAGAGAAGTGGTGTGATGTGGGCTGTTAAGGTAATCCTTTGCTGTGAAGAGCCAATGAATCAGTAATTTGTTGAAATGATCCAAATAGTCTATAGATTTTTTAAAAATTACTGGAGATGGGTGACTGGTTGGATTCATTCCAGAGACACGCGTTTCCGCTGCTGCAGGAAAATGCCAAAAGTGAGGTACCAGGCTCTGGCACCAAGGACCAACGCCAGAGTTCAGCAAACGGTTTTCTGGAGGAGATCCCGGATCGCGCAGAGCAGGTCCACCCATTGCGCAAATGTCTCTGCGGCTGCACCTATGCGCCTTCTCGCAGGCGCCTCCTGGCCAGTGTCTTCGCCCGCCCGTGAAGAAACTGCGAGGCAAGCTGCCCAGCCTCGAAACCCTGCTACTAGGTGAGCGGCTCCGCTGCGCTAGCCGCCGCAGGGAGGCTGATAGTCAACCTCGCCGCCCCTCCCCACCCCACCCGCCGCGGTTAAAGTTTGCTCCCTTTCGCAGCTCCTAGCTCCACCCCACACCTCCGCCCCCGGGCGACTAGACGACAGAGGAGTTCCTGTGTCCTCGATGCATAAACACACTCACCAACAAAAGAAAGCCCGTTAAATCTTCCCTCCTGTGAACTCGCGCCCCAGCGGTTTCTTTGAACTGACCCCCGCCCTCTCAGCCCCCCGCGCTGCCTGGGGCGCGCCCGGCCCTCCCGGACTCACTGCCTGCCTCCCGGCTGCGCACTTTTTGCTGAGCGCTTGGTCTTTGATGTTTCTTTATATTGTGGCAGAGCAAGCACACGCTCTTCCCGGGCGAGGGGCTTTGTATAACGGAACTGACATTTGGCCTTGATACCTGTATCTCGCGGTGATTGCAACAAATTTCTAAAATAAATATTGTACTTTGATCTTCCAACATTGCATTTTTTACATTACTTTATTAAGATTAAGTTTTTCAGGAGCCCCGAGTGCAAAGGGTGGGAAGCTAAACAGCAGAGCGCAAAAGTGTCCCTCCAAACTTCAACTCGCGCCTAGGAGGGCTGTAATCATGAAGGATTTTCACAAATGGAGGTGCGGCCCAGAGCAAGGATTTAGGACATCCAAGAGAGGCCCTACTGTGGGCCGCTATTCATTGTTCTAAAGACTTTGCATAATTACCTTCTAAGCCTACAAGCGCACTACATGGTCAGCACTGCTCTAACCCCCACTGCCACTGGGAGCCTGAGGCATAAAGAGGTTGAGCAACTCGCTTGCCGGGGTTACCAACCAGAAAGTGGCAACTAGAAAATCTGACTTCAGATTTTCAGAGTTCGAACTCTTAACGACCAACACACACTCTTTTCGCCCTCTTGGCCACTGATGGCGGTTTAATGGACTAATGGGAGCATTGTGGGGGAAGGGTTATCTCCTACAACTAAGGAGATGTCAATTGGCTTTTCTTTCCTTTTTGTTAACAAAGCGAACAAATTCAGCAAATGAGATTTCCTTCCATCCTACTTGGCCCAACCCGGCCCGCCTGCCGGAGTTCGAAGAGCTCAAAGGAGCCCGAGAAGAAACAGGCTAGGGAACTAAATTAGTTTCCACAGACGTGTGCCTTTGCGGGTGTGCGCGCCTCGGGACTCCATGCCGTCGACTGGCATCCGGGAAAGGGCTCCTGCGGATTCTGGACTCCTCAGGGACTCGACGCCTTGACGGGGCGTAGACAAGGGGCAGGTCCGCTGGGCCTCAGAGCAAAACTCTTATGTCCTCTCCCTTTACCCACTCCCAGAGGATCCGAACCCCATCTTAAGCAGCTCGACAGCGGCAGGCGAGCCGCGCAGTCACTGCTCTGGTCACCTTCCCTGGGTGACACCCTGCTGGGGAGAGCGGAGCGAAAGTGTTCATAGCATTTTGTCCGCGTGCGGCCCATTGGTCTTCAACAAGATGTCTTTACTTTGCTGGCGGGCCCTCGGCATGCGGAGATGTGGGTCTGGCGGGATAGTGTCCCAGCCCCCAATGGGAATGCAGAGGTCTTCAGTATACAGCCCAGACTCCGAATCAGAAGCCTGCTGGAGTTGGGCTAACCGCTCGCCCCCAAGGCGAGTTGGACCACCCAGTCCGTCCTCTCACGTCAGTCCCAGTCTCCGTGCGATCCCCGGGAGGACCATGCGCAGAGGGCGCAGCGCGAGATGGCTCGGAGGATCCTGCACTGCGGGCGGCGTCGTAGGGAGGAGACTGAGTCCGCGTAGAGGCCGGACGCCGATCGCGGGGCGCCGAGCTCAGGCCGCCACTCCGTGGCGCGGTCACGTGAGCCAGGTCCCCCAGCAGGAGGCCGCTGCGGCCATTCCGGGCCTCTAATCTCCCCTCCAGTGCCAGCGGGACCCGGCGGCTCCCCTCCCGCCTCCTGCTTCCTCTCCCCGCAATCCCTGTGTCCGCACGGCCCCGGCAAGACGCGCCTTGCGCTGTGGCCAGAGGCAGGTGGCTGGTTATCCCTCCTTGGCTGTGCATGGCAGGCCAGCGAATGTTTAGGGTGAGCATTTCCCTGGCCCGAGGCATACGGCCTGTGCCCGAACTTTCTTTTCTTTCCAAGGATGACAAGAACAACCGTTTTCATTGACTTTACGGTTGGAGGGCCTCCCTATTACTGCTTGTGGTTTGTCCAACAACAAAAGGCTTCCTCGGCCGCCCCTTACTTTTCGAGTAGTCTCCTGATAGGTCAGAGCGGCGTGGCGGGCTTGCGGGGAGAAGCTGCCCGCTCTCACGGCTGGGAACCCTCGGTGGAGCCTAGGAGCGGTCAGCCGCCTGCCGTGCCCTCCACAGCGTCCTCCAGGACTTCTGCCGGAGACAGAATACGTTTTTCCCTCGGGTGTATATTGTGAGCTGTTCTGGGCGTCCTGCCAAGCGTAGCTTTGGGGGTAAGCGCGGCTCGGGTGCATTTCCCGTCTCACTATTCGCAAAACTTGTGGCCCAAGAAAACTTCCAGGTCGCCAGCAGCAACGTCACTAGAGAGCCCCAGACGCTCGTCGGAGAGACAGCCCCGGAGCGTGCCCGCCACCCACCCTCGCCCTGGGCGGCGGCCCGGGTCGCCGCCCTGCCCGCGGCTCCACCGCGGAGAGGCTAGGCGCGGCAGGCGGCGGGAGCGGGGCGCGCGGCCTTCGGGCTCTGTGTGTCTCCCGCCCCGCCCCGGGAAGTCCCTTGGGCCCGCGGTGTGCGTAGGCCAGTGCCTGTGCTATCCCGGTACCGGGTAAGTGCCAGGGGAAGTGACAATTACCCTCATCTTCGTCGCAGAGTCTCGCGCCTGGAAGCTAAAGGCAGATTTCTCTGGAGATAACAAAGACACTTTGTCACTTTGGGAGCTGCCTCGGTGCAAATCTTTAATTGCAAGTGGGAGTGGGGGAAGACGGAGATCGAGTGTCTCAAGCAAGCTAAGCGCGGGTCTCCAGGCGGCAAGGCACCCTTTGATCAGGAAAATCCAATTATTTGTGTATATACATTTCCCACATAGTGATTACTTCATTAATTGTCCCGCCTTTATCTCCTCCCTTCCCATCCCCCCTAATAATCAGTTCTTTTATCCAGACCAACAAACACACCATAGGAGCTTTGTGGATTCAAAGGATTTGCTTTCGCTTCTGAAAGAGCCGCTATTCTTTGATGATTGGGTAGCGGCAAACTTCAAAGCCATAAATCTTCCCTCTGACTGGCTGGCGGCCCAGCAAAGTCCTTATCAAATTCTTGGAGGTGATCCTGAAGCGCTCAGACCGCGCGCGGAGCGAGCAAGCGGGGTGCGGCAAGGGACACAGGCGGGGAGGGCCTCGGCGCGCGGAGGGGGCGCCGGGGAGGGACGCCGGGTGGCTGTTCGCCCTCGTCTTCGGGTCTCCATGCCTCGGCAGCGCCCAGCTCCGCAGCCAAGGGCCAGAAAGCTGTAGCCATGGCCGCCGTGGCTGTCCTCCGGAACGACTCGTTGCAGGCCTTCCTTCAGGTCAGAGCTGGGCTCGGAGGGGGCGAGGGAAATGCGGCAACGGTCGTGTCCGGATCTCTCCTGGTACTCTGTGCGCCCTAAATCTCTAAGAGATCCTGGGTCGGTGGATGCTTCTGCAGTCAGACCTCGGGGTGCCCAAGCCAACTTCACACCTAACCTGGTGTCAAGAGTGTGGCCTTTGGGAGTTAGGACGCGCAGATTCGGGAGCTTTTCGGACTCCCGCGTCTGGCTTACAACAGGGCCTGCGCGCTCACTGCTGGGCCCTCCTGCTAATTTCAGCCTGGGACCAGCAGGGAAGAGCGCTAGACGACCGCGGAAATGGGAGCTTGAGAGATGGGAGGGAAGGCGGCTGGGCAGCCGGGTTGTGGGTGTTTCCAAACCTGTCCTGACCGCGGAGCCGGAGAAGGCCCGTCGAATCCCTGTCCTCTCCTACTTTGTGCTTGCTTCCTCTGAGGCTGGAAGGTATCCCTTTTCAAGTACTTTAACAGGAAGCGCTCGCGCGCTGTATGTTCAGGTAGCGCAGGCACCAAAAGTTTCCCGGGCTAGTGGGTGCGTGCGTGGGGTGCGGTGGCAGGGGAGGGACCCACGGACTGAGGGAGGAGCTGCGGTATTATAACTGGTGTGGGGGTGGCGGGCCGGCCGGGAGACTGCACTCGCAGCACTAACCTGGTGTCTCTTTTCCGCCCTCCCCCGCCGCCGCCCATGCAGGACCGCACCCCCAGCGCCTCCCCGGACCTGGGAAAACACTCGCCCCTGGCGCTGCTAGCCGCCACCTGTAGCCGCATCGGCCAGCAGGGAGCTGCGGCGCCCCCGGACTTCCTGCAGGTGCCCTACGACCCCGCGCTGGGCTCGCCCTCCAGGCTCTTTCACCCTTGGACCGCAGACATGCCCACTCATTCTCCCGGCGCGCTGCCGCCCCCGCACTCCAGCCTGGGGTTGACGCCGCAGAAAACACACCTGCAGCCGTCTTTTGGGGCGGCGCACGAGCTGCCGCTCACACCCCCTGCTGACTCCTCGTACCCCTACGAGTTCTCACCGGTCAAGATGCTGCCCTCGAGCATGGCGGCGTTGCCCGCCAGCTGCACACCTGCCTACGTACCCTACGCGGCACAGGCCACGCTACCGCCTGGCTACTCCCACTTGCTGCCCCCACCTCCGCCTCCACCGCCGCCCACGTGTCACCAGCTGTCCCCTAACCCGGCCCCGGACGACCTCCCGTGGTGGAGTATCCCGCAGGCGGGCACCGGTCCGGGAACCTCTGGGGTTCGGGGGGGCAGCCTCTCCGGCGCCTGTGCTGGTGGCTCCCACGCGCCCCGCTTCCCCGCCTCGGCGGCTGCCGCCGCCGCCGCCGCCGCCGCCCTGCAGCGGGGCCTGGTGTTGGGCCCGTCGGACTTCGCGCAGTACCAGAGCCAGATCGCTGCGCTGCTGCAGACCAAGGCCCCCCTGGCGGCCACGGCCAGGAGGTGCCGCCGCTGCAGGTGCCCCAACTGCCAGGCGGCGGGCGGCGCCCCGGAGGCAGAGCCAGGTAAGAAGAAGCAGCACGTATGTCACGTGCCGGGCTGCGGCAAGGTGTACGGCAAGACATCGCACCTGAAGGCGCACCTGCGCTGGCACACGGGCGAGCGGCCCTTTGTGTGCAACTGGCTCTTCTGCGGCAAAAGCTTCACGCGCTCAGATGAGCTGCAGCGGCACCTGCGGACTCACACCGGTGAGAAGCGCTTTGCCTGCCCAGAGTGTGGCAAGCGCTTCATGCGCAGCGACCACCTCGCCAAGCACGTCAAGACGCACCAGAATAAGAAGCTCAAAGTTGCTGAGGCCGGGGTCAAGCGGGAGGACCCGAGGGACCTGTGAGCCCACCAGGGTGACTAGGTCTCTCACGCTTTGAAGTCCCTAGCACCTCTTCTGGGAGGTTCTGGGGGCCTGTGAGTATCTGGTAGAGGACACCCGACAGGGACCGTTTGCCTTTCCTCTGCCCACCTACCAAAGCGACGCCAGGCTCCCAAGCTTCCCTGGCCAGGGACAGGTAGAGCTCTGTGTCACTCAAAGGCGGTTTGAAGCCCTGAACCATTCCCATCGTCTGGGAGAACTACATTTTGGGGGAACCACCCCGTGCTGGCATTGTATATAGGAAATGCGTTAAAACGAAGGAACCTCGGGGAATTTGAAATAGTGCTCGGGTTTTTGTTGTTTTTTGCTAGGACCGGGCCTGGCTTTGTACAGATTATTTAATAGCTTTGTTAAAGATTAATTATAAAAACTGTAACATTAATAAAATGTTACCTTTGTCTTTAGCTCCATGCAGAGCTACAGCATGAAATGTCTCTGTAAAGCAATCAGTTGCAGTGTGAAAATAAATAAGTTAATTCCGGGGTCATCTCGGGAAGACCCGGCTGAGCCGGTCTCGTTTGATCTTTTCTTCTGGGGGAGCTTTACAAAGCGGTCAGGTTTCATTGGCAAGACCGTTCCTGTGTCAGAAGCTGCTTTAGTTTGGAAGGTCCTCTGGCAAGCGTGCTGGGTACATGGATGAAGTAGGGCGGGGTCAGTTTTGTGGTACAGAGGGCAGGTAGGGCAAGGTTTTCCAGCTACACTTTGAGTTTCTCAAGCGGCCTCAGGACTTGACCAGACACTTTCTAGCGTCTCTTAAAAGTTTGGTGCCTGTTGACAGTAAATTCTTTTTATCTGGCGATTTACCTGTGCTTTCTATTTGGTATTCTCCGGGGCAGAAGACTCCCTCGAGCTGTGCTTCCTCCCGGTTGCTGGTTGTGTCTGGAGGGATGCCAGAGACTCCAGGATCTGTTCACAGATGAGACTTGGGAGAGTTACAGAGAAACGGGGGGCCCTTGTTCAGGTTGGTCTTTGCCCAGGGAAGAAGCGTCGGTCCTGTATCTCAGCCCCCTCATGATGTACAGCACTGTGTTGCTTGTTTTCTTCTTAATCATTTTGCTTTGGAAATCCTAAATCTTGCTTCACAATAGCCACTTAGGGATTCGTGGCCAGACCTGGAAGGTTAGTTTCATTTTGTATCTTGGGATTTTACTTTCTTAATCATTGAAGTAGACTAGGATTTTCTCAGGGAGGAGCCAGGAATACTCACATATCTTCATTTCTTGCCTGTCTCTAAAATTTGAAGTTTTCAAGTGTTCTTTTTTTCAAGTGTCTCAACTCAGCTGGCTCCTAGATGTTCTAATATTTGAGTTTTTAAGCCTGAAACTTAAATCCTAATTTTCTGATTTAAAATTAGCAAAGAACAGAAAATGTTTTAAATTTTGTTAATATGTTAATATGGTATAATTTATGCCAAATTTCAGTGGAACTGAATAATCTTCTCATGGTAGTAGAAATGAATAAAAAATTGATAAGATTTCACAGTTTACAAACTGCTGTTACCTTCCTTTTCTTTGAAGCCATATTGAAGGGTAAGGTCTTAAAGCTGGGAGAGTTGTACTTGAGACTTACTGTATTAAGTAAAATGTAAACAACATAATTGAAATAAAAATTACTTTTATACTCCTAAGAAATAGCATTTTTACTTGTTACTTGGAACTAGGTAGTAAATGAATATTAGAATCATTGTGGAGATAAGCCTTATTAGAACCAGTTACTCTCATTAGAGGTTTTGGAACTATTTAATGACAAATTAGATTGTGAGCCTTTAGGGTTCTTTATCCAGGAAGGGACAGTTTGGGTTAGCTAAATTTGCAAGGGTGTGGCAGTCTTGTAAGCAATGTAATAAGAAAGTTGCTAGCTACACAGTGACATTAAGATATACCTAAATGTGTAATCTTAATCTAAAATCTAAATCAGATTCTTGAGAGTCATTTCTATGAAGAGATAGAGAAACTCTCACATCTGGACCATGCCCTGTGGTGGACTTAAGAGCAGAAAAGGTTTTTTGGTGGATCATAGGAAGAGAGGAAGCCTTATTATTGAGTGAAAAGACCTAGGGCTTTAGACTCAGAAAATTTGAGGTTATTCTCTCATGAGAAAAAGAATACCCTTGGTAGAGAAAGAAAAGTGGCAATTTGAAATTTCTACTAACTGTTATTGACAGCATGATCATTTAGTCCAAACGAATGAAGTGTTGAAGATAAAGTTTCCTTATAACTTGAACTTTATGGTTGTTAAGAGAAAACAGGTAAAATGTATGAAATGTAGTACCTAAACAGATGAGGTATTGAAGATAGTTTCCTTGTAAGTTCATGGTTGTTAACAGAAAAACTTGATAAAATATGTAGGATTTATCTAGAAATGCAGTAAATATACTTTTTAAAAGCAGAACAAAGTCATTTGATGACAAGATATGTTTTCATGTAATTGAACTGCAAATTTTAGAAGTATGGTAAAAGTACAGTCTCTAGACTAACTTGGTCCAACTGAAAGACTGTTGCTTATTGTACCACTGCAAATTTGTGTTCCAATTTCTTTAGAAAAAAACTGTTTATGCCATTATCCAAGCATAAGCCAGGAAGCCACAATGATGTGACATGTTATCCAAGAGTAGCAAAACATTTCATGTTTATACTGAAAAATAAGCTAATCGATCCTCAGAAATACAAGATTGACATGCAGAAATTAACTAGATGTTATAATTTGAACTGCTACTGCCTATTTTGTTCCATAAAATGTAACTGGTATACCATGTAGGACTTCAAGTTATTTTAAAATAAATTAATATGCAAGAAATAATATGCATAAATGATGTATAATTAAGCACATTTAGCAGAGAATTTAATGAAATTCAAACTAAAAGAAGTTCAGAAGTAAATTACTATCAAGTGCAAACTAAAATTTAATATTTATTTCGAGTATTGCCAGCATCAAAAAATTTAACATTCAATTGATAAATGAATCAAAAATAAATTGACCTAGAACTTAGAAACATGGAGAAATTGAGTTATCAATTAACTTGGAATTATGTATTTCTGAATTTGTTAACACTCCATAGATTTCTTAAGGGAAAACTGTGAAAACTTACCTTTAGCTGACCATTAATTTGTAACAGTTCCAGAAATCAATGAAAGGAAATTATGTTAAAGAAAATACAACTATTTTTCACCACTTTGTTAGTCTTTCCTAGTTTCAGTTAGAGTTTAGATCTTGTGTATAGTATTTTTAATTATTTTGCTTCAAGTCAATCAAAGCATACCAGTTTTAAAATTAATAGTGCAGAAACACACCTGAAACAGTATTTATAGAAAAGGCAGTTTTTCACCCCAATTTACACTTTGTATTTCTATTCTCATACTGTGGGTTAAGTAATCAGTTTAAAGCAGCATCTTTAGCACTTCCCTTTGGGGGTTCTGCTGTGGGAATTTCACGGGAAGTTACTATAGCTGTAGCTATAACTTCAAATTCATGAAAAACCTAACAAGCTGTTTTGTTCTCTAAAATTGCAAGCCACTTTTACTTGTATTAGTTCATCACATTAAATATTGACAAGCTGAGGGGTAAATTGACAACAGCTCCTTGGGAAATGGTCTGTGTTGTGGAACCAGATTCAACCCTCCAGCTTTGTTTTCTAGTAAATGTAATTGTGGTCTGCTAGCATCCTAAATTGAAAGCTACTCAGTCATGTTAATGTTCTATTGGTTTACATGACAGAGGGGAAACTTAAAAGAGTATGAGACCCAGGGCAGCTTTGAAATGAGGATATTGCCCACATAGCTTGATAAGGTAGGAAAAAATCTAGAGAGAATGATGTATGTTGATAATGAGACATCTATTTAAGTGAGTATACCAAAAGGGCATGTTTCATTATTGCATAGCCTGATTAATGTGGCATTCAACATATATAAAGAGTAAATTTTTCTCTGGTGGTGTTCAGAATCAACACATTTTTGCATAAAAATCTTTGTGTCAATTGCTCTTGCACTGATTGTTTTAAAGAGTCTGTAATGTTTCAAATTATTTTATGGACATTGTAAAGTAACTTACATATAATGTTCCTTACTCTAACAATTAAGTGATACTCTTCAACAAAGATGTAATCAAACAGCTATAGACCTTCACAACTTTTGTCAGTTTCACAGTTGTTTTACTATTAAGACTTATTCCCAACTGAAGATTTGCATGTGATGATTGATCTACTATACATTTTCATGCTGACATTTTCATGACTTTTCTTTCTAGACTTTATATACTTTTCCTTCCATGTCTTTAGTGATGATGCTGAAGCATAATTCCCAGTGGGGAATTTGACACTTAATTCATAATTCAGTCCATGCATGTGAACTGCAGTAGTTTCTGCACAACACGTAATAAACTATATATATTAACTAATAAAATTCTTGTTGTCTATCTAATACCAAAATTCAATTCAGGGGAAGTAAATCAGGTTCCTAGTTTGATATATGGAAAATCTGCAGCTTTCACTTTTCAAAAAATTGCCTCAGCATTATGAATATTCAGTCTGCCCATTATAAAATGGAAGTTTGTTTTACAGCAAAACTATTCATCTAAATTTTACTACTTGTCAAAATTCTGACATCAAAAATATGTAAAAATTTTAAAAGTTTAAGACAGGATCTTGATGTCACTTGATTTTTTAATATAAAGGTAAACCATTCAGTCAGATGGGTGTTCTGATGATTTAATGTTTAGCATAATCTGAAACACGGATGGAAAACATCTGCCCCTCAGCTAATTTCATCCAGTTCACAAGGCAAATATCAAAGTTAAATCCTAGTTTAGGAAAATGTGCCCTAATTTGAAAAGTATTTGGTGGCAATTTCCTAAAAGACTACATAAAATACCATGAAAGCTTATTTCTTTTTTTTTCTCTTTGTGGGTTTTATTCTTACATTCTGTATACTGTTTTCTTTTCCCATTCTGTATGTCTGTTTATTTGCAGATATCATGTCATCTGTCTATCCATGTTCTATCTCTAGATGGAAATTCATTTTGTGTCATGTCTCTTTTTTCTAAATATTTATGCCCATTATTTGATTTTGCTCTCTATGATGCAGAACCTGACAAGATTCTAAACTGTAGTTATTTTAAATCTGTTGTATTTTTAATAGACTTTTATATTTGGTCTAAATTTTATATGTAAGTAAATTGAATTTATAGTTCTACTTGTAGGTTGAAGTCATGTTTTATTAACGTAGTCCCAGGCTCATGTTTACTGTGGCTTTGTGAACATGAGTGGGAAAAATATTTCCATCACACTTGAAAGTACAATTGTAAAATATGATAGAAGATTATGGTTTGAGGTAATCCTAGGTTTACCTCAATAGATTTCCTAGGTTACCTGGATAGATTTTAATTAGTAAAAAACCATACAAAAGAAGTAGATTATCAAATCTATAAACATAGCCTTTTATTTATTGAGCCAAAGTTTTAATGAAGGGAATGTCAACTAAAACCTATAAAAATGTATCTATTTCTATTCCTAACTGAGATTATTACAGATGATAGAGACTTCTTTTTCTCTCAAAGCCTTTATTTCCCTCTGATCCTTGATGAAGTCTTTCAACAGTACTATGGACCACTGTCCAGAAAGTCACTGTGGTAACAAAATTTTGTACTGAGCTTGGGTTTGGAGTAGAGAGTTGCTAAGTTGTTTTCTAAGAAGAAAGCACTTCCTACAACAGTCATGATTCAGGCTTGTCAATGGCAAGCCTGTGTGCCCTGAGCAGCTAGCAGCTGGAAGTGGCAGGGCTGTGGCTGCCTGCTGTGATGGGAAGATCTAGAAGTAGGGAAAGACAGATCATGGGAATAACATGACTACTGGGAATAACAGACATTTAAATATCCTGGTTAGACAGGCTATTACTATGGGGTTGAAATAGGGCCATTGGATAGATTAAAGCTGAAGGAAAAGATGTGACTTTTCTCAAGGTTGGAATGGAACGTGGGAAGGAAAGTGCTTCCCTCACACCAGGTTTTTTTTTTTTTTTTAAACCAAAAGTGAGTATGATGAGCTGCAGGGGAGATGTGGGCCTTGACAGGACATTTACATTTGGATGATCTTTATTATCTCTTATATTTCAAGCTGAAATGCTTCAAATCTAAAATCTGTAATTAAAAAAATGTAAATACATTTTATTAAGGCTACTAAAAATGCAATAGTGGTATGAATATGCCTGGCATTCAGGCATCTGATTTCAGAAGTCCAGTTTCTGAAAATATGGTCTGTCCTCAAATAGTTAAAGGTATTCAAGGGGGGGCAAAGGAAATTTGGGATCAGTCAAACTATGCAAGTAATATTAGAATTTAGTCACATGATCTTAACATTGGCTATAGAAGATAATCACTTCTGGGTTTGTCATTCTTTGTAAGGGCTGTACAATTATGCACACCCCCAAATTCCATTTCTATGTATGGAAATTTCACAGTAAAATGACAGGATCCAAAATTATAGGAAAGTTTTCACCAATTAAGTAGATAAAATTATTTAATTTACAAACTTTGGCCTAATTAAGTTTAAGCAAACTGTTTTTTCCCCACATCAGTCAAGGTGATATGTACAATTAAGAATATGTTAGCTACAGAGGGAATTTGCTTCCCACAAACCACCTCTACAGGGTATCTTACAGGGACTGCTCTAGATGGGAGCACTCCTAAAAAGAGCACAGAACAAAACACACAACATATGAAGAATGGAGGAGGAGAAATAAGAAGGGAGAGAAGAAAAGAATCTCCAGACAGTGTATATAACAGCTCAATAAGCGAGCTAAGTTAGGCAGTAAGATACTA